ACGGACGGACGGACGGACGGACGGACGGACGGACGGACGGACGGACAGACGGACAGGGCTATATCGACTCAGCTCGTCGTGCTGATCAAGAATATATATACTKTATGRGGTCTGCGATGATTCYTTCTGCCTGTTACATACTTTTCACAAAACCATTATACCCTGATTTCCCATTTTCAATGGGTTCAGGGTATAATTATATTTCCTACAACTTTAGAGCTAAAGTCTCAAAATTTTTAATGTAGATTTATGTGCAATTTATACAATAGATCCACCCCCTCACCCACATATTTGTAAAAGGCGTATTTAAAATATAAGAGACTTGTACTTTGGCAAATGCATGCATATTCATGTTATAAACTATAAATTATCTGAAAGTTTCATGAAGATCGTATGTCCACAAGAAAAGTTACGCTTTAAGTTTACAAATGAGTAAAATTGTTTAGGATCTCGAGAAAACTGACGTTGCATATATAGTCAGGCACAGTTTATATAATTTCGATTTTTGTTATATTTTAGATACCGGTCTGAAACCACCACTTTCCCACAAATTTCGCAAAAAGCTTTATTAAGTACTAGAGACTTCTGAGGTCGTGCAAATGAAGTGTTGAGTGATTTAATATCCATGCAGCATATATAGGAATTCCATAAAAATGTCCCAAAGTTCCGAAAATTCTGAGTAAGTCTTAATTGATCTACGATGAAACGACTATATTCGAATTGTACTTTACTTTCTTATAATTTTAGAAGTAAACCTCTTAATACCAATGACAATAATGAGGGAAATACGAAAAGCACACCAAAGATACAACCAAAATATAGCATCCATCGAGATGTGCTGACTCATGAGATAGTTATACGACAAACTGGGTATTCGGCAAGAGATAAAAGTATCCCCTCATCTTTACGTAACTTTTGGAGTGGTTTGAACTTGCTATCAATATTCACTGGCCTTATTCCTATTCTTCAATGGTTACCCCAGTATTCACTGAAGCGGGACCTCGTTGGAGATATTATATCAGGATTTACTGTCGCTATTATGAATATACCCCATGGAATGGCCTATGGAATGCTGGCTGGTGTTTCCGCTGGAAATGGTCTCTATATGGCCGTATTTCCAGTGATTGTTTATATGTTTTTAGGCACATCCAAGCACATATCAATTGGTACATTTGCTGTAGCCAGTATGATGACGCAAAAAGTGGTTCTAACCTATGCAAATGTGGATTCTAACAACCTAATTGATGGTACAATGGCAGGTAATAATTCTATAATAAATACCGTACTGCCTCCAGAGAATGTTATCACACAGTTGGACGTGGCCACCTCACTTGCGTTAGCTGTTGGCATTGTGAATGTAAGTTAAAACGAAAACAAAATTATAATTTAGTGAGACTATGAGAAAACAAGTAAGAAAGTTCTAGTCGAGACTGCTTGGCTACGAGATCCACTGAACCCTTCGAGCAACTGATATTTCAATAATTATTCGCACATGTATAAACACACACACACAGGCATAGAGAACTTAATAGAGAAATTAATTGCTTAATAAATTTTCTTGTCGATTGACGATCTTCATGATACCTTGAGCTTATGATTATAACATGGATATGCATGCATTTGCACAAGTCTGTAGTATTTGAAATGTGGGTGTGGGGGTGAGTATAGGGGTAGGGGGTAAAATTGTATAAATTGCATATAAGCAAGCATAAATTACAAATTTGGAGACTCTAGCAATAAAGGTTTTGAAGATATAATTTTATAACTGGTTTTCGATAAGGTTTTTATCGATAAAAAAGATCGGGATGAGTTATCGATTTTTAATGATAAACTTGAATTATATCTTCTGAAATCGACGCGTTCATACATACGAACACCCGGACAGACAGACAGACGGACAGGGCCAAATCGACTCAGCTCGTCACCCTGATCAAGAATATATATATACTTTGTGAGGTCTGCCACGCCTCCTTCTGCCTGTTACATGCATTTCAACAAAACCATTTTACCCTGATTTCCCATTGAAAATGGATTCAGGGTATAAAAACAATGTACTTATGCACAACAACAGTGCTTATGGACTGCTAGTGATTTTCTCAAGGTAAGCTAATAGAACAGATTTTATTTTAGGAAGAGAGAGCTTTAAGGAAAATACGTGATAATGTATATTAAAATTGACACATAGAACATGAAACGCACTATGCAAAGAATAATCCGTAGGACACACAGGTAAATGAAGCGGAGAAGTTTGTAAATTATTTAGTTTTTTGGTACAATGTTTGATGGAGATTACTCCGAAGGTAAATTCACTGGCGTCGATCTGTTTAGGTTTAAATTCATGAACCACTACATGAGGTGGCCAGAAATTAGGATCACATAAAGTTTTAAAATATCCTACCGGCACATTGATCTTGAATGAAGCAATTTCTCTCGGGGTTGCGAAACTAAACTTTGATATAAAAACATTAGCCGAAATCTTACTTGAGATAAAATCAGATACTGTCTCACAGGTCGTATCAGATGAAAGCCTAGACAAGAAAACTTTCTTTCGAGGAGAGACGACATCAATTCTAACAAGTAAGACAGCTCTAGTCTAGACTGCCCGACTACAAGATCCCCTGAACCCTTCGAGCAACTGATATCATTAATTATTGGCATATGCACACATACACGCACACACACAGGCATACATACGCACGCATAAACACGCATTGGCTGCAGTGTTGACTTACTATCGGAACTTAATTGCTTAATAACTTTTCTTTTGGATAGACTATCTTCATGAAACTTTCAGATTATGAATATAACATAGATATGCAAGTCCCTAGGATTTGTAATACGTCTTTTACAAATGTGACGGTGAGGGGGTGAATTAGAGGTGTGGGGTCAACTTTGACAAAAAACCGAAATTGTATTAAATGCATATAAGTATACATAACAAATTTTGATACCCTAGCTTTAAAGATGTAAGAGATATAAATTTATTACTGGGTTTCGATAATGTTTTTAATCGATAAAAAATAACGGGACAAGTTATCGATATTTAAAACAAAACTCGATATGCGCGTGCTATACACGGACCTAGGAAAAAAATTCAAAAAATTCAAGTCCTAGCTCTTATATCTTCTAAGATCGACGCGTTCAAAAATACGGATAGACGGACAGACGTAGTCAAGACTGCTCGACTACGAGATCCCCTGAACCCTTCGAGCAATAGCTGTTTCACTCACACGCACACACACACACGCATACACACACACATCACAGATACACACACACGCACACACACAGAGATACGCACACACGCATAAACACGCATTGGCTGCAGTGTGCGCTTACTATGAGAACTTGATTGTTTAATAACTTTTTTTTGTCGATATACGATCTTCATGAAACTTTCAGATTATGATCATAATATGGATATACATGTATTTGCCAAAGCACAAGTCTCTAGTATTTGAAACCTTTTACAAATATGTGGGTGAGGGTAAATTTGATCAAAAACCGAAATTGTATAAAATGCATATAAGTATACATTTAAAATTTGGATAAGGATTTTCGATAAGGTTTTTTATCGATAAAAATAACGGGATGAGCTATCGATTTTTTGTGATAAACTCGATATCCGCGCTGCATATACGGACATTTAAAAAATTTAAGTCTTTAGCTCTTATATCTTCTGAGTTCGACGCGTTCAAACATGCGGACAGACGGGCAGGGCCAAATCTACTCAGCTCGTCGACCTGTTCAAGGATATATACACTTTGTGGGGTCTGCCTCGCCTCCTTCTGCTTGTTACATACATTTCAAGAAAACCATTATACCCTGATTTCCCATTTTCACCGAGCAGGCAGAAAAATTTCGAATTAATTAGGGGCCTTTAATATATGGGATTAGCGGCAATATTGTTTCGACCTCTTTGTTGATGCGTCTTAATTTTTCGGTTCCGTCCCGAACAACTAGACACTATCGTCCTTAATTTACTTGTGTGCTTTACGGATTATTCTCTGCATAGTGCGTTTCATGTTCTATGTGTTAATTTTAACAAGTAAGAACGTTGCAGTCGGGCGTTACTGACTGCGGAATACTCATTCACATCCCATCAGCAGTTTTTCCCGATTCGCCACGCCCCTACTCGGCGTAGACACCTTATTTTCAGTCAGTTCAGTTCTTAGAACGAGCTAACGGCACCCCACAAAGTACATATATTCTTGATCAGGGCGACGAGCTAAGTCGATTTGGCCCTGCCCGTCTGTCTGTCCTTCCGTCCGTCTGTCCGTAATATGCTGATATGCACCGATGTCCTGATCGGTGCCGYTGATGATCCGCARGGATTCCCTCTGKATGTCCTTGCTGTTCCCACGATGTCCTGGGAGTCCTGATTTACCACTCGCGTTGACTTTCACTTGACTTTGGCACTTTCTTCACGTACTTCGACTTTTCACTTTATATCTTCTCTTCAGTATAGTTTCGACAGCCTCGT